AAATCTTAAATCGCTTATAACTTCGTTAAAACACGTTTAAATTGAAAAATAAGCTTATTTTGTGATCACCCATATTTCCCTTTAAAAATCGATTTTGTGATCAAAATCTTAAATCGCTTATAACTTCGTTAAAACACGTTTAAATTGAAAAATAAGCTTATTTTGTGATCACCCATATTTCCCTTCAAAAATCGATTTTTTTTTTATCGAAATCTTAAATCGCTTATAACTTCGTTAAAACACGTTTAAATTGAAAAATAAGCTTATTTTGTGATCACCCATATTTCCCTTTAAAAATCGATTTTGTGATCAAAATCTTAAATCGCTTATAACTTCGTTAAAACACGTTTAAATTGAAAAATAAGCTTATTTTGTGATCACCCATATTTCCCTTAAAAAATCGATTTTTTTTATCGAAATCTTAAATCGCTTATAACTTCGTTAAAACACGTTTAAATTGAAAAATAAGCTTATTTTGTGATCACCCATATTTCCCTTTAAAAATCGATTTTGTGATCAAAATCTTAAATCGCTTATAATTTCGTTAAAACACATTTAAATTGAAAAATAAGCTTATTCTGTGATCACCCATATTTCCCTTCAAAAATCGATTTTTTAGTCGAAAACATAAAATCGCTTATAACTTCGTTAAAACACGTTTAAATCGAAAAATAAGCTTATTTTGTGATCACCCATATTTCCCTTAAAAAATCGATATTTTTTGGTCGAAATCTTAAATCGCTTATAACTTCGTTAAAACACGTTTAAATTGAAAAATAAGCTTATTTTGTGATCACCCATATTTTCCTTCAAAAATCGATATTTTTTGGTCGAAATCTTAAATCGCTTATAACTTCGTTAAAACACGTTTAAATCGAAAAATAAGCTTATTTTGTGATCACCCATATTTTCCTTCAAAAATCGATATTTTTTGGTCGAAATCTTAAATCGCTTATAACTTCGTTAAAACACGTTTAAATTGAAAAATAAGCTTATTTTGTGATCACCCATAAATCCCTTTAAAAATCGATTTTGTGATCAAAATCTTAAATCGCTTATAACTTCGTTAAAACACGTTTAAATTGAAAAATAAGCTTATTTTGTGATCAGCCATATATCCCTTCAAAAATCGATTTTTTGGTCAAAAACATAAAATCGCTTATAACTTCGTTAAAACACGTTTAAATCGAAAAATAAGCTTATTTTGTGATCACCCATATTTCCCTTAAAAAATCGATATTTTTTGGTCGAAATCTTAAATCGCTTATAACTTCGTTAAAACACGTTTAAATCGAAAAATAAGCTTATTTTGTGATCACCCATATTTTCCTTCAACAATCGATATTTTTTGGTCGAAATCTTAAATGGCTTATAACTTCGTTAAAACACGTTTAAATTGAAAAATAAGCTTATTTTGTGATCACCCATATTTCCCTTAAAAAATCGATATTTTTTGGTCGAAATCTTAAATCGCTTATAACTTCGTTAAAACACGTTTAAATTGAAAAATAAGCTTATTTTGTGATCACCCATATTTCCCTTTAAAAATCGATTTTGTGATCAAAATCTTAAATCGCTTATAACTTCGTTAAAACACGTTTAAATTGAAAAATAAGCTTATTTTGTGATCACCTATATTTTCCTTCAAAAATCGATATTTTTTGGTCGAAATCTTAAATCGCTTATAACTTCGTTAAAACACGTTTAAATCGAAAAATAAGCTTATTTTGTGATCACCCATATTTTCCTTCAAAAATCGATATTTTTTTGTCGAAATCTTAAATCGCTTATAACTTCGTTAAAACACGTTTAAATTGAAAAATAAGCTTATTTTGTGATCACCCATATTTCCCTTTAAAAATCGATTTTGTGATCAAAATCTTAAATCGCTTATAACTTCGTTAAAACACGTTTAAATTGAAAAATAAGCTTATTTTGTGATCACCTATATTTTCCTTCAAAAATCGATATTTTTTGGTCGAAATCTTAAATCGCTTATAACTTCGTTAAAACACGTTTAAATCGAAAAATAAGCTTATTTTGTGATCACCCATATTTTCCTTCAAAAATCGATATTTTTTTGTCGAAATCTTAAATCGCTTATAACTTCGTTAAAACACGTTTAAATTGAAAAATAAGCTTATTTTGTGATCAGCCATATTTCCCTTCAAAAATCGATTTTTTGGTCGAAAACATAAAATCGCTTATAACTTCATTAAAACACGTTTAAATCGAAAAATTTACTTATTTTGTGATCACCCATATTTTCCTTCAAAAATCGATATTTTTTTGGTCGAAATCTTAAATCGCTTATAACTTCGTTAAAACACGTTTAAATTGAAAAATAAGCTTATTTTGTGATCACCCATATTTCCCTTTAAAAATCGATTTTGTGATCAAAATCTTAAATCGCTTATAACTTCGTTAAAACACGTTTAAATTGAAAAATATTTCCCTTCAAAAATTGATTTTTTGATCAAAATCTTAAATCGCTTATAACTTCGTTAAAACACCTTTAAATTGAAAAATAAGCTTATTTTGTGATCATTCATATTTTCCTTCAAAAATCGATTTTTTTTATCGAAATCTTAAATCACTTATAACTTCGTTAAAACACGTTTAAATTGAAAAATAAGCTTATTTTGTGATCAGCCATATTTCCCTTCAAAAATCGATTTTTTGGTCGAAAACATCAAATCGCTTATAACTTCGTTAAAACACGTTTAAATTGAAAAATAAGCTTATTTTGTGATCACCCATATTTCCCTTTAAAAATCGATTTTGTGATCAAAATCTTAAATCGCTTATAACTTCGTTAAAACACGTTTAAATTGAAAAATAAGCTTATTTTTTGATCACCCATATTTTCCTTCAAAAATCGATTTTTTGGTCGAAAACTTAAATCACTTATAACTTCGTTAAAACACGTTTAAAGTGAAAAATAAGCTTATTTTGTTCGAAAGTATAAAATCGCTTATAACTTCGTTAAAATACGTTTAAATTGAAAAATAAGCTTATTTTGTGATCACCCATATTTTCCTTCAAAAATCGATTTTTTGATCGAAATCTTAAATCGCTTATAACTTCGTTAAAACACGTTTAAATTGAAAACTAAGCTTATTTTGTGATCACCCATATTTCCCTTTAAAAATCGATTTTGTGATCAAAATCTTTAATCGCTTATAACTTCGTTAAAATACGTTTAAATTGAAAAATAAGCTTATTTTGTGATCACCCATATTTTCCTTAGAAAATCGATTTTTTTTATCGAAATCTTAAATCGCTTATAACTTCATTAAAACACGTTAAAAGTGAAAAATAAGCTTATTTTGTGATCACCCATATTTTCCTTCAAAAATGTATTTTTTGATCGAAATCTTAAATCGCGCCCATAAGCCAATTTTTTGGCACAAAGAATGCTTTTAAAATATCATACTTCTATCTGCTTCCAAAAGGAAATTATGACATTTTTTCCAGCTAGATTGGCTTTTGGCTACACTGTGAGCCAGGGACATGCCTAATGTTGTTACAAAGTATTTGTAATATGTAGTTTGTATACATTTCTTTAAGTTTATGAACGAGTATAATGAATGAAATAAATGACTACAGACATATTAATAATAATTTATGACTAAAAATATTACAGTTCCTATTTTTATAACATTAAACAATTTGAATTAATCAAATAATAACTACCTACTGGTAAAAATATTAATTATTAATAATTACATAAGTATGAGTAGTTTCCCTTCAAGCTAATATTAGTTCATATATTTTTAGAATATTTACAAAAACGAATAAAATTAGAATGTTTAATCAGTTTACTTTAGGATGAATCAAATTTACTTCTTTGAAGATGAAATACAAAATTATTACCACAAGATATTTGGAATTGGAATTATATTTGTCCTTTAGTGTGAATTTTAAAACTAGCCCTAAGTTTTTATTATTCTAATCACTTAGGAGAAAATATATTTTTCTATTTTAGAATTTTTATTAGAAAACCTGTTCACATTTGAATGATTCATGATTTTTTTTTTTTTTTTTTTTCAAAACATTGTCGTATGCAGATCTATTAATTTATTAACTTTGTGGTTAATTATTGTACTCATTCATTTATTTATTAATTTTAAAATTCATGGGAATACAACAAATTTGTTTAAATATTTTAAGTGTATTTTTCAAAATCAATATTCATAGTGTCACATACAAAGCAATGATTTGTTTGAATTTTATTGCAAAAAAGCGTATTACCCAAATGAAGTGATTTATAGAGGGAGGGGATCGTACTTAGTATAAAAAACTATCTGCATATGTATGTAAGTAAATGTATATATGCGAGCAACATAATGTCGAACACATACAAGTCAAACAAACAAGTCCAACGTGTATAGCTGAGTGTACAGTGATAGCTTAAGTGTACAAATTATAGATTTTAATTTAAGATTTCATTTAATTAATATTTTGCTTTTTTAGCAAAAATAACTTCGTTCTACATTTAAATTATCTTACTTGTACAAATGCGTCCTTTATCGGTGAGTAGCGTCTAAAAAGAAAAAACACTATGCAAAGGTTTTTATATCTTTTAGTAGAGTCAACAACCTGTTTGACATATACAAAAGTTTATGAATGCGAAATACATTTTAGTAATTATACAGGTTTCTAACTAGGCTTCTAGTTAGACTTTTGGTAAACCACGTTTTGTCAAAAAGTAAATCGACGTCTTTGGCCAAACAAAGTCAATAAATCTATCTATCTTGTAAGAAAATGTCGACTAGTAAAAGTAAAAAAGTTAATAAATGTCGATATTAAAAACGTGTTTATTGCAAAATATATGAAATATCGAAAAGTCGACTTTTCATTATTTGCAAAAACGCGAAAGTTAACTTTACAACTCTAGTTTCTTTTGGGTGGCAACTTTAATTTCTTTGTATATTTTTCGTTTTTGTTTTTCTACATTTTTATACAATTTCTTGTTGTTGTTATTGTTTTGACTTTTCTACAACTTGTCAGTTCATTCGTTGTTGTTTTGCCATCGCCGACAGTTGATGTGAAATTTTTTGTGTTGCTATTATTGTTTTAATTTAATTGAATTTTCGATTTGAGAAAAAAATTCAAATCAAAATTTTTTGTGTTAAAAATAAAATTTAAATATTTGGAAATTTGAAGTGCAAGAAAATTTTCAGTATTTAAAGAAACGTACGCATAAATAAGCATATAATTTTGTACGAAAAAAATTATAAATTGCTAAATTGTTGTAGAAAGAGAAAAAGAAAAAAAAACTGTAAGTCAAATACATACATTTTTTTGCCAAGTTTTTGTACGTAAAAGTGCAAAAATACATTTAAAATATACAAAAACAATAAGACTCCATTTTGTTTAGTTGTTTGTTTTTTTTTCTTATTGTTCAAAATCTAAACATTTTTAAAGAGTTAAATAATTTTTGAAAATACATATTGCAACTTTTGTTAAAAATAATGTAAACGAAACAAAGAAAATTTCGTTAAAGAATTGGAAAAAATATAAAAAATGTATTTTATTGTTCAGTAGGGGGTTTCACGTTAAGAAGTTTTAGTTTAGATTACAGCAACAGTTTCGAGTTTACATATATTTTGTGGCCCTCTCCGTCCGCAGATAGATAGACAGATAGATAGATAGATAGATAGATAGATAGATAGATAGATAGATAGATAGATAGATAGATAGATAGATAGATAGATAGATAGATAGATAGATAGATAGATAGATAGATAGATAGATAGATAGATAGATAGATAGATAGATAGATAGATAGATAGATAGATAGATAGATAGATAGATAGATAGATAGATAGATAGATAGATAGATAGATAGATAGATAGATAGATAGATAGATAGATAGATAGATAGATAGATAGATAGATAGATAGATAGATAGATAGATAGATAGATAGATAGATAGATAGATAGATAGATAGATAGATAGATAGATAGATAGATAGATAGATAGATAGATAGATAGATAGATAGATAGATAGATAGATAGATAGATAGATAGATAGATAGATAGATAGATAGATAGATAGATAGATAGATAGATAGATAGATAGATAGATAGATAGATAGATAGATAGATAGATAGATAAGATAGATAGATAGATAAATAGATTGATTGATAGATTGATAGATTGATAGATTGATAGATTGATAGATAGATAGATAGATAGATAGATAGATAGATAGATAGATAGATAGATAGATAGATAGATAGATAGATAGATAGATAGATTGATAGATAGATAGATAGATAGATAGATAGATAGATAGATAGATAGATAGATAGATAGATAGATAGATAGATAGATAGATAGGTAGATAGATAGATAGATTAAAAGACTCTTAAGATTTTTCCCCAAATTTTATCTGAACTGCTTTCATAAAAATGGAGTTTGTTAATAGCCACTCAGAGAAACTGGTATACGGATAAATAATCTACGTATTACTGAATTGAAATATACAATTAGTCATCATAGTTTATAAATAAACTAATGGCGGCCGACCGCTTTGCAGGCCCATGATTAGCCATGTGGCCTCTACATGTAAAGATCTATATGCCCATCAAATTTTAAAATATTAAATTAAATGGTTTAGGTGTAATTGACTAAAAATTAAAACTTCTTCGCCATCAGATGGACAAATTTAAAACTTTATCGGGACAGATGCGATGCCTTAGTTTCTGAGTTTATCGATTAAAAACAAACACTACACTTTGATTTATATAGATTATAGGTTTGTAGGCATAAACATTTTAGAAATCATTACAATTTTATTATTTGGTGTATTTTCGAAGCTAATAGCGAAATCTCTTCTTTGATATAGATTTGAATTTAAAGCAAAAATCTAGTAAAAATTTAAAGACTTTATAAATAAAGTGTGAATACCCCTAATAAAATCATTTAAAACATCTTTAAATACCGGAAATAATGTAACCTAAAAAAATAAAAATAATAAAACATACATTTTATTTCCGCAAATGTAATTTATTTTCATTCTTTTGTTAACTATTTGTTAAACTGTTTCCTCTTTTCAGCTTTTGTTTATAATTAAAATTTTACTTTGTAAATGAAATTGTATTCAAAGATCAATATCCTACTTAATATTGAGAGTTTAGTTTAATAGTCTAATTAAGTACTATGTTTTAAATTGAATAAACATTTATATAGCCCTACGTGTTTATTTTATTTTCTTGTAGTAAAATAAATATTTTATTTAAATTGTTAAATTTTTACATCACGGCTGTATTTAATAATTAATTGTATTGATCTTCTGTGTCATAGGAATACTACGATTTCAATAATTTTTATGTCACCTTGATTATTCTATACAACAATCGCATCAAGGTTGCTAAAGTACATTGTGCTTTATTTTCTCGTTTTTGTTGTATTTTGCTATTATTGTTGCTGTTTTTTTTTTCATTATTGTTAATTAACAAAAAATATCACGTACTTATTTGTTTTAAACATATTTTGTTTTTAGTAATTAATGCGAGTGTTAATAATATAAATTTAATTATTAAAGAAATCTTGTTTATAAAATTTCACCGTTTTGTATTAAGTTTTTTAGATTTTACGATAAAAAAGTATATTAAAGTTTTATAAAAATAAAAACTTAGGAAATTTTGGTTTAAACGTACATAAGTCGATAGATAGATAGATAGATAGATAGATAGATAGATAGATATAGATAGATAGATAGATAGATAGATAGATAGATAGATAGATAGATAGATAGATAGATAAATAGATATATAGATAGATAAATAGATAGATAGATAGATAGATAGATAGATAGATAGATAGATAGATAGATAGATAGATAAATAGATAGATAGATAGATAGATAGATAGATAGATAGATAGATAGATAGATAGATAGATAGATAGATAGATAGATAGATAGATAGATAGATAGGATAGGTAGATAAATAGATAGATAGATAGATAGATAGATAGATAGATAGATAGATAGATAGATAGATAGATAGGTAGATAAATAGATAGATAGATAGATAGATAGATAGATAGATAGATAGATAGATAGATAGATAGATAGATAGATAGATAGATAGATAGATAGATAGATAGATAGATAGATAGATAGATAGATAGATAGATAGATAGATTGATGATTGATAGATAGATAGATAGATAGATAGATAGATAGATAGATAGATAGATAGATAGATAGATAGATAGATAGATAGATAGATAGATAGATAGATAGATAGTAGATAGATAGATAGATGGATGGATAGATAGATAGATAGATAGATAGATAGATAGATAGATAGATAGATAGATAGATAGATAGATAGGTAGATAGATAGATAGATAGATAGATAGATAGATAGATAGATAGATAGATAGATAGATAGATAGATTGATAGATTGATAGATTGATAGATTGATAGATGATAGATGATAGATAGATAGATAGATAGATAGATAGATAGATAGATAGATAGATAGATAGGTAGAAATAGATAGATAGATAGATAGATAGATAGATAGATAGATAGATAGATAGATAGATATATAGATAGATAGATAGATAGATAGATAGATAGATAGATAGATAGATAGATAGATAGATAGATAGATAGATAGATAGATAGATAGATAGATAGATAGATAGATAGATAGATAGATAGATATATAGATATATAGATATATAGATAATAGATAGATAGATAGATAGATAGATAGATAGATAGATAGATAGATAGATAGATAGATAGATAGATAGATAGATAGATAGATAGATAGATAGATAGATAGATAGATAGATAGATAGATAGATAGATAGATAGATAGATAGATAGATAGATAGATAGATAGATAGATAGATAGATAGATAGATAGATAGATAGATAGATAGATAGATAGATAGATAGATAGATAGATAGATAGATAGATAGATAGATAGATAGATAGATAGATAGATAGATAGATAGATAGATAGATAGATAGATAGATAGATAGATAGATAGATAGATAGATAGATAGATAGATAGATAGATAGATAGATAGATAGATAGATAGATAGATAGATAGATAGATAGATAGATAGATAGATAGATAGATAGATAGATAGATAGATAGATAGATAGATAGATAGATAGATAGATAGATAGATAGATAGATAGATAGATAGATAGATAGATAGATAGATAGATAGATAGATAGATAGATAGATAGATAGATAGATAGATAGATAGATAGATAGATAGATAGATAGATAGATAGATAGATAGATAGATAGATAGATAGATAGATAGATAGATAGATAGATAGATAGATAGATAGATAGATAGATAGATAGATAGATAGATAGATAGATAGATAGATAGATAGATAGATAGATAGATAGATAGATAGATAAATAAATAGATAGATAGATAGACATGTTACAAACATTACCACAAGCAAATACTAACCCTCTCAATCTACAGTTTGTCCCAACAACGCCGTCAGCTTTATTTTTCATTTTATCGATTAATTACCAATTTTAATAACCTCAAAAGAATTTAACAAAAACAAAACAAATTTAAACTTTTTGTTTAACAAAAAATTGCGTTTATTTAAATTCTTATCAATTCTTGTATTTTTATTATTTGTTTATAAACAAATATGTATATATAAAGTGTAATCATCATTGACTTGTTTATGTTTTTATTATCTATTCTTTGTTTTTGTTATTACTTCATTCTCTGCTATTTCTGTTGTTTTTTTCTTCTCTCTACTCTGAATACATTTTGTTTACGTGTATATGCGCAGATCATCATCATCAATATTATTTGTAGAAAAATTTATAAATAGAATTTCAGTACAATTTGTGTTTTTTAAAGAAAACTTTTTACTTGCATTGCATTACCCCGAAAAGGTAGACAAACTAATAACATAAAAATTCAAATAAAAAAAAAAACAATATTA